GCATGTCTGGGGTGTTGCCCCGGTTTGATTCGTTCAACAGCAAGGGCGTCACTTTTTGGTGAGCCACCTTGAAGGTCCACAAAGCTGCATATTAGTGATGGAGCCGCGTCGAGCTCGGGTGAGGAGGTGATCTGTCATTCTTTTTTTGTGGAGTTGTGGTGGTGCCGGAGGCAGGTGACGGCCGTTGGTGTCAAGATCGGAGATGTTCTGCTGTATTTTCAGTTTTGTCACGTCGGTCCTTACGTGACTTGTACTTTGTTCTTTATGATATGAATAAGACACGTATTAGCATGAAAAAAAATTTATGAGTTAATCTATAATTAGCCTTTCTTAGAATGCTTTAGCCCCTAAAAGAACAAGTTTTTTTTACAACCCTCAAAAAATTGAGCTACCATTCAAGCTAATCCTATTCTACCTAAATCTAAGCAACCACTCAAACACCTAAAAAACGAGCGACCACAAAGGAAGCACATCCTCCTCCCATCTGCTGACACCCACCGACTTCCCAGTTGTCGCGGGAAGCTCGTACCCTCACTTAGTCGGGCCTTGCATTGAACCCTAGAGAAGGATGCCGGCATCCCCGTTGGATCCAACAGATCTTGGGGGGCCTGAGGTTGCAAATAGAGCGAGACAGGTCAGGCATAAGAGTAGGAATCCCAGCAGGCCCATTTAAGGCCCGCACGTACTGGCTTCTCCACGTCCCTATAAATCGCTTACCGCGAGACGGTATTCATGCTCGCCTACGCAGTCTTTGAAAGTTGGTCAACCCAATAGCCGGTATGTAGCAGTTTTGGGAAGCTTCTCTAGACCGCTTGACGGAAACTTCCACCCAGTTTTGAAAAGGTTCTATGTGATTTTTCTTTTTTCCTTTCTTTATTTTTCTCTATTGGTTTTCTATTTTATCTCTCTCTGCCGAGCACGGAGAGAGAGAGAGAGGGGTCATCGGCGCCAGCCGCCCCGGAGATGCAACGCCCGCCGAGGCAGCCATGGGCACCCCGGCGATCACGTCGCCCGTGCCATCGCCTTTCCTTTCATATTGGGCCGCTCATCTATCCTCGCAGTACGGAGTCATCAGAATATGCTAGCTACATGTACTGATTTCTTATCGTTGGTTGTTGTTTTTGAGTTGTGACTGTCGCTCCAGATCTCTGTGATGAAAAATCAGTACTAATTCTTTGACCTGTTGACTAAAGAACAATGACAATGAACTACCTAGTACCGAGGACGTATCCTATGCACCGGACCACTCGTGCACCAGGTGCTCCGGTGGAACATGAGCCCTTGGATTAAAAAGAAAGGAACAGGATGCGGTGCAAGGAGAGTTGCTGGTACATTTTGCAGAACAGACCTTCATGTCTAGCTAAATCGAACGAATCCACATCCCAAACCTAGTTCGTCAATCCCCTTTTCCTCTGCCATGTACCACTGCTGGAGGTCGCCGCCGCTAGGGTTAACTGAAAAAATTGGGCGGATCCCTATATCCCTCTCCCTCTCCCTCTCCTGTATATCTTCCTCTTCGCTTTCGGCGTTGAAGACGAACGCCCAAAGATCAAATCATGATGTCCGGCGGCGGCTCGCTGCCATTGTGTCTCTGTAGCAACGTGGGGTTGTAACTCTTTGGATCGACGATAAGGCTGCATAGGAGAGAACCATTGTCCTTTACAGCTCAAGGATCCAAGGTATGTACATCGAATTAGAGTATTGGTTCATGCGCAGTCATATTGGTTCTCTTGATTCCTCTGTTCATCTTCTCTTATGTACGTACTGTTTGAGTTTATGTGCAAGATGCAGCCATAATGGTAAAGTTTAAAAACTAATTACTACTGTTAGGATGGAAAAAAAATAGGGGATGTGCTCTGTGTGGTCTGATCTTTCAACTGTATAGAATTATCTGTGAACCCACGCTCATTACTAGTCGATACCATTTTGTTAATTACTAGTTCAGAGTAACTATGTTAGCAAAAGGTCCTTAACTTTGTCTAGTACTCTAGATGTTCTTGTGCTGCTCAGGAAGACTCTCTATGGCATATCAATCTTTACCTAAGACTTCATCTTTATATGGCAAGAGTTTGTTAATTCCTAGTAATTGGGCAAAATTTCTGCTTGATGGATAATATTAACACATACTCCCTCCGTTCTAAAATAGATGACTCAATTTTGTACTAAAGTTAGTACAAAGTTGAGTCATCTATTTTGGAACGGAGGGAGTAATTCTCAAGGGCAAAACAAGACATCACAACTTGCATACTCCAGTAGGCAATATGATGCAGACCGACAACTGACTTCAATAACTAAGACATACTCAGCAGTTTGAGAATATTACCACATCATTAGGATAAAATTAGTTGTACCTACATCACCATTGCTATTGTACAGAATCTAGATAAAATTAACTGTACCTATACCACATCACTTAGAATAAAGTGCTAACCATCATCTACTCTGTTTTCAACTGATATTGTACAGAATTTAGCACCTAGTCCATTGCTATAGATCTTCAAGTTACACCCTTCATATAAACAAAATGGTATCGATCGATGTATTGTTATATTCGCCCTTCCGTCTACATACAACAGCCACCACCATAAACTCTCTTTCACCACTTCAAACCTCTAGATGAAACTGCAATGGTAAAAAGTGTCTAGTTAGCTAAGAAGGTTTAGCAAACAACAGCAATCCCCAGATAAAAAAACAGCAGTCCCAATTCCTTTCATCGGTGTGATCCTCCATACTGCCAGTGGAAAGCAGTTAGTTCAGCAGTACGATTCTAATGCGAGAAAGGAAAAAAATGATGCACACAAACAATACAATCTAGTCGTTGGCAAGCACTGTAAAATCAAGAAAACCAAATCTGACTCATCAAAGAAAAATAGTGTGTACACTGATAAATGTTATGCAATGTTTTGTTCGCGCTTAAATCCTAGGACAGCTTATCAGAGTCGAATCATATATTTACTCCGAACTAGTATTGTTCCTGTGGAGTTGGGCTCAGAGGAAAATTACTAGTTGTTCCTGTAATTGGGTGAATCATATATGTATCTAGGACTTCATCTGTATACAGCAAGAGTATGTAAATTACTAGTTGTTCCTGTGATGTTCGTGTACATGAACGAGTAATGTTTTAGTAGATGCTCGCGATCGACATTTCTGATATTAAATGGAAATGTCTGGATATACACCAGATGTAATTTGCAAAAAATTCCTAAGATTACCTGTTCTGGCTTTTAACGCGTACTTTTCGTCGTAATCACCTAGCAAGAAATGTCATCAATTATACCATGTCTTATTTTCAGGTCTATTGGTAGCAGGATGGCAGTCCTGCAGCAGTGATGTAAACTTTGACATGGCCCATGCCTGAAGTTCGAGAAACCTCAAATGGACAGTGCAATAGACTGACGTTTGAAATGTATGAATCTCTACTGCTTTTCAAGTAGCAGCGTTGCTCTGTTGAAGATTGTATAGGATGGCTTGTGTCATCTTCATTACATTTGTTTGGCTGAGCTTCTGTTCCAAACCATGCATAGCACCTGAGAAAATTGGCAAGTTGTGCTCTTGTATCAGTTGTTGTAATTGTTGTGTGATTGCTCATTACTGACTTTTGGGGAAAATGCAAAATTTTCATGTAATTTATTCTCGAACAGTTGAAAAGCTCAACAGTTATTACTATGTAATATTAAGTATATGAGAGAAATGTATTTATAAATAACTGTTGTGAATGATGTTGTTTTTCAACTGAACCAAAGATCTCTTAATACATTTCTTTAGATGCTTCCATGCAAGAACATCAAAGTGTTTCACATTGGAGCATCACCAGCATGCACTGAACTGTACAGCAACTGTCCCTCAGAACTACAAAAAAAAGTTGCATACTAATTTTTTTTGCAAGTGTACATTCTTGCTTACATGGTGCCAAAAGAAAAACTAGAGCCTGAGCCAAGCAGATACGATCTGGGCTAGTACAAGAGGTGAAATTATCAATTTCATCAGCTGTCATCTCGTAGGTACAGAGAGAGAGAGATCCTTGGCTGGGTAGATGACATGGGCGATTTTTTTCTAACCCGCCATGGTCCTGTCCTGTGGCACGTGAGATAAGATAGGGGAAAGAAGATAGGGAACGGGAGAGAAGACAGGGCGGGACAGAGGCTCTGTTTGGATGCATAGGTTAGAGTTAGTTTGGGTTTGTTTGGGCTCAACTAACCCAAAAATATTCAAACAAGAAGGGTTAGTTGGGGTTAGATGCATCTAATCCATCCAAAAAAAAAACTAACCCATCTAAGAGGTGCTTATTTGGGTTAGTTCTCCTCGGGACCACTAAAAAAACATATTTTTCTCTCGCTCTCCCCGTAGCAGCCCCGCCCTATCCTCCCGTTCCAACCCCATCGTCTCTCTCGTCGCCCGTCTGCCCGCCGGTAAGTAGCCGCGGCTCCTTGCGCGGCCGGTTCCCGTCGGCCTCGACCAGCGCGGCTCCTTACGCGGGATGGCAGATTCGGCCGGCGAACTGCGCGAGAGGCCAGCGCGGCACGTCCCGGTCTGCCTCGGTCAGCGCAGCTCTCGGCTAAATGATTGAGAAAGAACATTTATTGTCAATCTAACCATGCCATCCAAACACCTTTTTGGTTAGAGTTAATTTAGGATTAGTTCAGAGTTAGAATCTAACTCTAACCTCTAACTAACTTAGAGTATCCAAACAAAGCCAGAATTGAACTGCACTTCAAGGTTTATTCTGCAAAACGTACCAATAGCTCCCCTTGCACAGCATCGGGTGCACAGGATATGTTCTCGCCTAGTACCTGCCCCTTCTGTGAAAGCAACCTCGAAGAGGGGGAAAAAATCAGCAAGCTTGAAGACTTTGGCTTTGGTCCATGCATACCCTGACCCTGAGGGACCCAAAAGGCTACAGACGTGGAGAGACTGGGATCACAGGCTTGGTTCATCTCTTTGTCTATTTCCCCACCTAGGAGTTCGCGGTGCCGTGTGCCGTGTATGAGTTGCTAGTGATTATGGCGCCGCTGCTCTGGTTTCTGCTCCTCCTCCGAGTCGCCGCCCTGCCGGAAGACGCCGCCACGCTCACCCGCCGTGACTTCCCAGACGGGTTTATCTTCGGCGCAGGCACCTCGGCCTACCAGGTACCGCCTCTCCCTCCCTATATGTGTGTTGCAAGCCAAGTGAGCATAGTCTCATGGTTGAGTGAGCAAACTTCAGGTGGAAGGGGCGGCTGCAGAAGATGGAAGGAAACCTAGCATCTGGGACACCTTCACTCATCAAGGTCAATTCAGAATACGATATTTTTATCATATATTGTAATTCTTTTCAGCACTGCTCATCCATAAGACGTTTCAACACCTGCAAAACATATCTTCTTAATTTTATTTTATTTTTGCGAAAATATCTTCTTAATTTCTGTAAACTGCAATGTACTGATGAAGTGATGATGACAGGTTATTCTGCTGACAAGTCTACCGGGGATGTTGCAGCGGATCAGTATCATCACTACAAGGTCAGTGTGGAGAACTAGCACCAAGTACCCTGCTTACAAAGGAGAATACAGTGGGATGAGGCACATGCATGTCAACTAACTGAACAAATTTAATTTCCCATTTCACATTAGGATGATGTCAAGCTTATGCACGACCTGGGTCTAGATGCGTACAGATTCTCCATCTCATGGCCGCGGCTTATCCCAGGTACCTAGCACGCATAGATAGACTAGTCAGTACAATACTACGTCTCTGAACTGACACTGAACTGTGTAGATGGAAGAGGAGAAATCAATCTGAAGGGCTTGGAGTACTACAATAACTTAATTGATGAACTGACACGGCATGGTAAAACTCGTTTTCTCTACCTGAACATAGCCTTCGCTCGACCTTGATTATTAACCAGCACTGTCTGACAAATGCTCTGCAGGCATACAACCTCATGTCACCATCTACCATTTCGATCTCCCTCAGTCCCTTCAGGATGAGTACAACGGACTGCTCAGCCCCAGATTCATGTAACTCCAGAATGAGCAATGAAGGTTCAGAATCTTTTAGATGCTCTTCGTTCTTAATTTGAATGTGCTGCCATATGTGCAGAGACGATTACACCATGTACGCGGACACCTGCTTCAAAAGCTTTGGGGACAGGGTGAAGCACTGGGTCACCATCAACGAGCCCAACGTCGAAACGCTAGGCGGCTTTGACAGCGGCACTTGGCCACCACGACGTTGTTCTCATCCTTTCGGCACAAATTGTACTGGTGGGAACTCCACGACGGAGCCGTATATAGCTGCTCACCATCTCCTGCTTGCACATGCCTCGGCAGTGTCCCTGTATAGAGACAAGTACCAGGTATGTCATGTCAGCATCTTCCCTACAGATGACAGTAGTTGACACCGATGATTATCATGACCATGCAATGCAATGCTCATCTGTAGGCAACTCAAAAGGGGCATATAGGAATTACTCTCTTGACCGGGTGGTATGCGCCTGCTACCAATGCATCCCAGGATGCTGTTGCTGCAACAAGGATGAATGACTTTCACATTGGATGGTTAGTGCTAGTAGCTAGTACTAACTCCAGTTCCTTGAAAGTTGTTACCAACATGGTCTTCAAAGCACAATTTTTATCATTAATTTGTAGAGAGAGATAGTAAGAGCTCGTGCCCTCTGTGTACAGGTTCATGCATCCTTTGGTGTATGGGGACTACCCACCGGTAATGAAGATAAGGGTTGGTGCACGGTTGCCGAATGTGACGGTGGAGCAGTCGAAGAAACTCTCCGGCTCATTCGACTTCATCGGCTTGAACCACTACGCTGTTTTTCCAACGCTGGCCGACGAGACTGCCTTCAATCTGAAGCAGAGGGACTACTTCGCCGATGGAGGAGTTGCAAGTAACTAAACTAAGCAGCTGCTAATTATAAGGCTACTCTACTCATACAATGCCATTCAGCCTTACTTATACTGTGCAAAACATTTTTGCCTGGATTCAGATCCGACGAAATACATCCTAGAGGTAAGCACCGAAGCAAAGTATCTCTTCAGCAATCACAGCACATATCAGCTGTGTCACGGTAATTATTTCCTTCATTTCATTCTCAATCGTAAGATGTAATTTTATTGATGTAACATGTGCAGGGCCAGAATGAGTATGCTCCTTGGGCTCTAGGAGAGCTACTGGAGCACGTAAAACTCAAGTATGGAAACCCTGCAATCATGATCCATGAAAATGGTAGGCAAAATAAAATTAAAAAATGATCTTGCTTGGTGCATATATTGCCCTGCTTTCTGGAGATGAGCCGAAACTGTGAATACTTGCCAGTGTTGTGTGAACTGAAAAACAAAACATGCTGACCTCTGTACAACAAAATCAAAGAAATGAAGGATCTTTTGTTTGATGATTCAGGATATGGAGACGCCCCCAAAACCCCAGGCAAGATCGAATACGATGACGATAACAGATCAAAGATTCTGCAAAATTACTTGGAAGTTCTCTACCTGTCCATAAGGTGAGTTCATCTAAAACGGATTTTTCGAACATGGGGGCAATGGAGCACTTTATTTTGAACTGCTCCAAAAGGTGCTTAAAAGATTTGAATTTTTTTTATTATTTGTACATGAATACGCATGCATGTGGTCTAAAATACTTGTAAAATTTCGTTCAATAATACGTTGTATTACGTGCTGCACAAAAAAGACAAAATTTCGGCCCAAAACCAACAAAAAAACAAGCCCCTAATTTTCATGTATTTTGTCTTTTTTGTATCCTTTACATGTAAGCATGTATATTAGTGAAATTTTGGCCCGATATACTGCATTGCTATACGTTCCTGCACACAAAAATTTGAAATTCTTTAGTCATAAAAATCTGGTTTTTTGAACTTCAAAATAAAGTGCTCCGTTGCACCCGTGCCCATATGTCATTTTTCGGAGTTCATCATCCTATACATAAATGCCAACCAGTGCCATACCCAAGTAGTAAAAGAATAGCATACGAATTCAGATGAAACTCTTGGGTTCGAGGAACAGAGAAAGAATTGACTTGGGATCATGTCATTCTTGATCTGGATTAGCTTCTGAGAGAGTTGTTTACTGGTTGCAGGAACGGATCAAATGTGCAGGGATACTTTGTTTGGTCGTTCGTTGATGTGTTCGAGTTCCTGTTCGGCAACCGCATGCGCTTCGGGCTGTGCGGTGTCGATATGAGCACGGCGGGGAGGAAGAGGTACGTGAGGAACTCTGCGCGCTGGTACTCCGGCTTCCTCAACGGCGGTGAGCTGCGGTCGGTGTCGCCATTGAGCAAAGCCTACGGGGCCGCATGATGTATGTGGCTTCGTTGGCAATGACACGGAAGTCGGTTTTATTTCATTTTGTAGCTGGTTGCATAAGAAACCTGCTCATAGCATACAATACACCAGCAGCCAGGGTCAAAAGTGATGGCCTGTGTATGCATACAAAACATTTTTTTGTTGATAAAGGGCGATTTTATTATCTCAAAATGTAGCATCAAGCGGATACAAAGTATTATGAGTAACACCCGGTCTTTGCATAACTAGGATGCACATGGCCCAATATGAAAGTGTGCACGCAAAAGCATGGTTACAGCCTACAGCGAACAGCCCAACAAAACTGCAATTACAGCCTACAGCGAACAGCCCAACAGAACTGCAACGTTCACCTTCACCCGTTATTAGCCTTCCCAGGAGTTGAACAGCCTCATTAAAGGCTCTTTACCAGAACAGAAGATATTTCATTTCATCCCGTAGAAGCTCGTCAGCACCAACATAAGAAATCCAAAAAATATATGCAATCCTACTACATTTTGTTCCCTTCTCACTCACAGGTCGCCCTAAAACGTAGGATCTCGATTAGACATTTGAACATTTCGAATTTCGACTCGAAATAACAGATAAATATGGATTTGAGATTTTACAGATCTTTTTCGAACCATGTAGGAGAACTGCAAGTACTAATAAATAATTAAATATATAAAGAAGAAGAAGAGTAGGATCAAAGGACCCCAAAGAAAACAAATTACATAAACTATAGTCTAACTAGTACAACACTCGGCGAAAGACAATTCAACCAAATAAGCAAGACCTAAAAAGGCACTACATTTTTCTGAATTATAAGTTCTGGGTGGGAATGGGAAATCAGTGTGACGAGGTGGGCCTCAACTTGTTTTATGCTTCCACCATCGTCTCGGTGGGAACGGACATGAAGAAACACTTTTCGAACTCGCCGTGGCTTCTTGGAAAGAAGCCCAAGGATATTGCTCCACTCATTTTTTTAGGCATCCTTGAGAACAAACTGGAAGGTGCGTGAGGTACTAAAAGACAATGCTTCGATCTTCAAGATCAATCCTTCTACAGACGTCTCTGTGAAACACATTCATGATTTTTTTCACACTTTGGATGCTCTTCCATGACTTCCACCTTGATAGGCTCGCCGAGGATGGCATTGTGTGGAAGTGTTGGGGAACGTAGTAGGAAAAAAAATTCTACGCATCACCGATGATCCTAG